ATGCAATAGCGACCCAAAAGTCTAGAACAAACACAAGCATTGATGACCAAGATATCGACGAGGCAAAACCCGAGAAACTGACGAAGAAGATAAGAAGTAGGAAAGGAGAGAAGAAAAGGGAAGAAGAGTGACACGTCAACATCTCCCGAAAGCGAGGCAGGCTCGCAATTTAAAATAATCATGAAGCACCAGCCTGCATAGCTCAGCTCAACAAAAGGGGCATCGTGCCCGTATCGTACCAACCATAGCCGAGCATCCGGCATTCATTTGACCCTACTTCATCGGAGCCGGTTCCGGAATCGTCAGGGGTCATCAAGCATCGAGTATCTGTTGATGCAGCACGCTAGGCTATATAAACAGGCACTCAGGACAGCTAACCCGAAGACCCAGCTAGAACAGTCGCGAAGGCCCGACCACCTGAACCTAGAGAAGAAGACCGACAAGATTCTAGTCTAAATCCAAAGCAACAATTAGCGACCAGGTTCAAATCCTCACTAAAGATCCCCAAAGACGAGGCGTCACACATACCCTCCAAGTTCCACCTTCCAATCCACAGAGTATCAGAGTCCAGATAGAAAAGCGGAGAGACCAAAAGACAGGTTACACTGTTACAGGTTCGAGTCCCCTCAGAGTCAAAGATTTAATAAAGCAGCAAATACCAGAGAAGGGCGACTGCTAGGGAAAAAAGATTATAAAAAGAAATAGAAAAAAAAAACAAATACCAGAGAGCACTTGGTCAACACTATCCAAGGTCATAAGGTCAGGGGTTCGAAGCCCCAAAGAACAATACGCTAGCTACCCAAATGAACACTATCCAAGGTGAATGCCCCCTGCCTGAACATGGCCAGATGCACGCGCCACATTTTTGTCTTTTCCACATTTCGAGAGTGGTGTGGCCAGGTTCTTAGTTTGGCAAGCCCGAACATAGCCCCAGTGGCGGCTGCCACGAAGGGTAGCGCCAATTTGTGCCCCCCGCTCTTTCCACCCCCAAAACACAATAGCCCCAGTTGCGGCTGCCACGAAGGGTAGCGCCAATTTGCGCACCCCGCTCTTTCCAACCCCAAAACACAATCCACCCACCCCAAACGGGGGGGGGGGGAGGAGGGGGGAAGCGTAACGCTCAGAAACACCCCTTTCGTTCAGCAAACGCAGGGATGCAGAGTGAGGAAAAAACAAATAAAAATAAAAATAAAATCCTTCGTTGTGCGAATCTACCAGTTTGCTGGGAAATCTCGCTGCACAGCGGTCCCCATCACGAGCGAGATCGCTGCAAGTTCGGTTGTGGGTGTGTGCGCACATAGCACCTAGTACCGTCTTCCCCCAGACACAACGCACCCTCATTTTGGCCTCACCAGACCGAAAAGACAGCTTGTATACATTTGTTATCAGGGTGCGTTGTGTTGTGTTGGGGGGAGAAGACGGTTGCGTCAGAGGGAGCTTGCCCTAAGCATACGCCCCCCCCCCCAACGGTTCTGTGTATGTGCTGACGTACAGCATGTATATGATCCTCCTGTCTCAGCGCCTAGGCACAGTGCCAGTGGCAGTTTTCGGAATCTGTACGTGACCGCAACTAGGGGCGAATTTGGGATGCATCTCACCGCAATCACGTCCAGAGCTGAGTCGCAAAGTCCTTGTGCCAGCATGCCCTCAGCCCGAACGTGTATGTGCGTTGATGACTAAGGTAATCCCTCTGTCTGCCAATCAGCCCTGCGCCTTTCTGTCGATGACCGGTTTAGAGCCCTGGATTTGGATTGAACACCCGTCTTAACTGTAACGGGCGTGGTAGAGATTATCACTTTTTTTTTTTTTTTTTTTTTTTTTGAGATTATCATTTATTTGTTACCTCTAAAGACCGACGCCGAAGGGTTTAGGGAATATTGCATTAGCCAGAAAAAAAATAATAATAAATACATTAGCCAGAAAAAAAAAAAAAAAAAAAAAAAATTGCATCTGGGGTTCGGTTAGCAAGGGGCGTATCCGCGGATCACAGACTTGCAGATCTCGCTATCTCCATGACAGAGGGGCTTTGGAGGGCATATACATGCACAATCTGTCTGGGAGTTTCCTGAACGAATCTGGTCTTAACTACGGTCAGATGCTGACAAAGGAGTGGTTGAAGTATA